TTGTCCTGCAGCAAGTTGACTATGGCAAGTTGTCCCGCAACAAGTTGGCCATGGTGAGTTGGCCACTGCAAGTTGGCTGCAGCAAATTATCATAGACCCGTGCAAGGACTCTAAGCTCAGCCCTCTCCTCACACCTCCCTCCATTCTAGTTGGAGATTTATCACACAACCTATATAATGTGGTGTTATAAATATTTGTTAATAAATAAATATCTTTTCTAACATACCTGCATCAGCTGAAGAACAAATCTGAAATTTCTATATTACAATATACTGCATTCTAGCAGGTACATCAAACATCTGTATTGCACATTTCTAGGCAGGTGCAGTATTCACTGATATGCAGTGATTCTGGAAACAGGTAGGTACTTATGCATTTCTGGATTACACTTGTTTTTATAATTTTATTTTTTGTTTCATGTACAAAACTGTTGAGGCAGCATTTAATGTATATGGAAAAGAAACATAGCAATGTAGTCCAGTCAATAAGTCTTTGAATGTTTAGTTGATAATACATAGCAGCAGCTGATCTTATACTGATCTATATTCAGTAACTCAAGCTTGGCACTGAATTAAACGCTTTTAGTTTAAATTTTTTCCTGGTGCTCGTGTTTGATTGTTTTTATAATATCAGTAACTCATATATTGCAAGAAATCTCATATGTTGGCTTGCCTTGTTCCTCTGCTTGGCATGTTCTCTGACCTTTGATTAGACTTACTGTTTCTTGCATTCCTTTCTTTCACTGCTCAGTCTGGAACAGCAGTAGCTTCATATGTAAGCAGCAAAAGAGAAAATGGGAATATTGGATTATTCTGTAAGTGCAGGAATATATTTCTGTTCATGGGCTACAACTCACCAATTAGCACAAATGATTTATACAAGAATTGATAAAATGTTAGTCTCTGGAAGTTTAGAATTGTCACTCCTGTATTCTACAAACAACAGGATATCTTAGACTGGTACTCCAAAACGGGGGTCCCCAACCTCCGGTCCATAGACCGGTACTGGTCTGCGGCATGCCAGCAACTGGTCCACACAAACAAGCAAAGCCCCATCCATGGGATTCAGGCAGCACACAAAACCACGCTCCCTCTGGTCCACGGAAAAACCTCTCTCCATGGAACCGGTCCCTGGTGCTCAAAAGGTTGGGGACCTCTGCTCCAAAATACCCAAATATTACTAGGTTACCTGTTTCTAAAGCCAGTTGTCCTTTTGCCTTTTTAAAAAAATGATGGATTTTTTTTTATCATCCACTGCATGGTTTTTAAAACAACAAAATCATTATACATATATACATAAGGGTACACACACAAGCACACACACACAAACACACGCACAGAGAACTATTTGAAATATTATCTAGTGTGTATATGAATTGCTGTCTCTTTATTGAAATTTGAACTTATGTGCTCTTGGTTTCTGGTAGGAAGTTGATCGGTCAAGGATTTTCTTAGCGAAAGACACAAATCAGTGTAATGAGTCAAGATTTTATCTGGACCGTGGATAGAGGGAAAAATTGAAAAAAATTGTTCAAGTCTGGACATGTTCTGTATTCAGAAAGATAAATATTGCCTTACTTTTGCTTAATTGAGCTTTCTATTCTGCCTTACTTCAAGATTAGCTAATAGCCTCTGTTCTGGAGGCAGAGCTAATTTAGTATCAGATCTGCTTTGGAAATGGACTGTGATTACTTGATGATTGCTATCCTTCCTTGTGTGGGCTTGGATGTCTGATAACAAAGCAATCTTGTTTCATGTAATACATAGATAATCTAAAACACTGTTAGAGTTTCCTGAGTGATATATAAAACCAGGTTCTTTACCTCCTCAAATATGGAGGTTACATTTATAAATCAAGGAGACCAGTTATGAGCCTGCGGTATTTATTTTGAGGTCTCTAGAGAACCAGCTGGATTATTTATAAGATAATCCTCAGGAATAATACCCAGGTGTACAAAATCTTCTAGAAGCCCCTAACCTGGCATTAAAGTTTCCTGCTAATATTACAGTAGCTTTAGAGTGATTTGAGTTTATCTTTAGCACTGTTTTTTCTAGTATTAGGAGAAAATTGGGAAGATGTATGTGGTGTATATATGTTCAGTAGAACTATTTCAGAGAATTTATATAAAAATTTTACAGCAAAATAATGAGGAATCATCAAGACCAATTCACGTACTTGCCAGCCCAGCTTTGCATTGGCAAGTATAGTCAGTCCTCCTGATGTCCACCCTGTAGTCTTATACTTCAAGTATCTAAAGCCTGGAAAATGAATCTTTTCCTTATCTGTAGTCAACCAGCTCTCTGGGAATGCTATGAAGTCAAATAAAGAGAGGAATTCCACCAGGTCCCCATCCTTTGTTCTGTCCTTTCAGCCAGCAGTATTCCAGATAACTGGATAGAGCCTTCATGCTTAATATTAGTGGGGGTGATTGGAAAGATATTGGAATTTTGGATTCAAAAACATAGATTTTTCAGACATCCAACAGGAGTGAAGTTATCAAAATTCTTTTGGTGTAAAATTTGTCTACCTTCACTACTACCTTGCTGTTGTATAAACTCTGGCAGGTTTTGAGGTGAGCAGCAATTTGGGTGGAATACTTTTGCAGGTTGGCAATTCAGAATAGTATCAAAATCTAGGAGTGATATCTTACTTCTAGGTGGGGATGATTTTCTTGTCTCAAATTGTCTCCTTAGCCATTTTGCTTCATGAGCTGTAGGCCTAGCTGGCGATTTGGGGCTTATATCTATTTTAGAAGCAGTGAGCTAATGGCGACCTCTTTAGAACTCAGTCCTACTGCAAGACCATCCTTTATTAGTAGCTCTCAAAGATTTGGGCTGCATCTCACTTCCACTTGTCTGTCAACCTCTATTTTATTTCTCTTACTTACATTTTCTGTTTGGTATTATATTTTATTAGTGAATGTGGGGTAACATGGGAACTACTCCCAAGGACTCTTTATTGCTGTCCTCCATGTCCATATTCCATGTTGAAATAGGGAAAAATACCAGCAGATAGTTTTTCAAAATAGGCAGTATTTTCTTGGGCAGTTGGGTGACCAGCTCTATTAGAAGTTTGGCAGCTTTATGTGTTATTGCTAATAATTCTCCTATCCCTATTGACCCTTCAGGCTTACCCCATAGAAGCCTCTCCTATTCTATCTCCTACTCTCCCTCAGACTTGCCCCACAGAAGTCTCTCCTCTTCTATCCCTATCATCCCCCTCAGGCTTTCCCCATAGAGACCTCTCCTATCTCCTATTGCCTCTCTCCTCCACTCTCCCTTTTCCCACCAAAACATCTCCCTTTTCAAATCCCTTTTCCTCTTCTCCCACCTCTTCCTCTTTTCTTCTGGCTGAAGAAGAGGCAGCTTTTGGGGCTCTGCCAGAGCTCCAGCCTCAGTCGCTGCCACAGTCCATCCACCTGCCACCCAGCTGGCCATCCTGGGCAGGCCCAATCTGCTGGAACTGCACAGATTGATCCCGTTTCAGCTGATCTCTCCACTACACACTCTCCCCGCCCAAAATTCTTTGGTCCCCCTAAAGAGTGGGAAGTGCTCACCAAAGGTCTGTGGTGTCAGGGGATGGATCAGAATTTCATCTAGCAGTGAGTACTGCCTCTTCTGTGCTGTGGCCCAGAGTATCATACATCAGTCTTCTAAGGGATGTATTGCCCGTTTTGGTCTCTATGCTTTGGGCTCAGCTGCAACAAATGAGTCATCTTCCTGAGACTTCTTGTACCCAATGTCTCTGGGGCTGGAGGCCCATTCTCTGGTTCTGGCTGTTGTGAGGCATGTGGGAGGATTGAGTCTTTCTCCAGAGGCTCCTCCAGTCCAGGAGACTCTGGAGTTGGTGGCATTCTCTCTGCTCAGGCTGCTTGTCAGCCTTCCACTCAGGTTCTCTAAGGACTTCCCCCTGTTCCCCAGCTTTAGGTACAACCTCAGGGTCATCTGGCCTGAGTTGCTCGGGCCCAATTTGAGTGCCCTTTGTGGCAGGACTGTTGCAATGTACTCCAATGACCACAACCAATTCATATAGCCCTCTTCCTTGTCAGTGTCCTTCTCCTTCTGTGGATGGAACAGGTTGGGCGTGAGTCACTGGTCTCCTCCTTGTTGGACAGTTGCCTATGGGATAGATGGCCGAGAGGTTCGTATTGCCTCATTTAGAGGCAATAGATGATTTTGGTGCAGGGAAATGTGCGCACGTATGGGTCCAAGTGTGCATGTGCACATGGGCGCATGCATGATGGCAGCGCTAGCATGTGTGGGCATGCCCAAATGGGCCACATGCACCCATGGCACACGTGCTGGCACCCAGATGCCGATGCAAATGGACCGCTGGTGCTCGTGTGATGTCGACAGCAGTCCTAGTGTCCCCGCGCATGCGGAAATGGGGCTGCCAGTGCCACGCAGTGGTGTTACCGTGAATGGGGTGGGGCTCGCCAGCTATTCCCAGGGCCCGGTGGCCAACAGGCCGCAGCCCGGTACCAGGCTGCGGACCTTTGGTGTAGGGAGTATGTGTGATGTACTCTTGATTGGTTCATGCATTTATGGACTACACTAATATATAAAGACAGCCTAAGGAGACTTAGTGGCATAAATGTGCAGATAATGCTGCATGCAGATGATGTATGCAGCATCATGTTTGAGTTGAGAACCAATTTTTTACAAATGAAAGATTGTACGATACACCATAGGATGTGAATCTGAAAATTAATTACATATAAATGGCAAAAAAAGCAAGTGGAGAAAGGTGCATCTTTCTTAGTGCTTAAACTTAAACTTTAATAACCAAATTTCACATTTTTGTTTACCAATGCTATTCATAATTTCATACTTTTAATCTGTGCTATGTTAAGTGTTGTACAGTATTTGTTCTCTATACAAGTCCTTGTTTTTACCTCTTTTGTTTTAAATAGTTTTCAACTATTATTAATGCAAGAAGTAATCTGTATGAAAGTTTATCCCATAAGTATAAAATGATTCTGTGTTGTTGTTTTTTTTCAGCGTCGTCTTGGAGATGCTGCGAAGAAAGCAATCAGCAAACTCCAAGTCAGAACAATAAGGAAAGGAGATAAGGTAATTTTAAAAAAATACTTCTCTTTAAAAATGACCACTTTGTTCAGAGACAATATTAAGGGCAAAATAATAATAATAAAAAAATAAAACTAGAACTTTTTTACTTGCAACTACAAAATGGAGTGTGTAAAGACTGGTCAGAAGATTGGATAAACATAAAGAAGGTTCATGCAAATTTCCACTATGATCTGGAGTTTAGACTGTCCATTTACATGGACAAAAAGGAAAAAAAATCGGATAGTTATATCCTACCACCATTCATTTGCACATCGATATTGACCACATCAACAAGGACACATCTCTCTGAATTTCACTCAGCTTGCATTTTTGTTATTTTAAAATATTAATTATTATTATTATTATTATTTTTAGGAAACAGAGTCTGATTTTGACAACTGTGCAGTATGTATTGAGGGTTACAAACCAAATGATGTTGTCAGGATCTTGCCTTGCCGGTAAGTTATTATCATTATCCCAACAAATTTATTTTAATAAAGTAATTGGTTTTAAGAAACAGTCAGAATCTTTTTCAAAGTTTCATTAGATTGCTTGATATAGAGGTTTGTACATTTATTGGTCTGTAATATCATAACATTTGGGATGAGTATAAATGTGTCTTAGCTTTTATGACAAATTTAGCACTGGTGTCACAATAAATAAAATACAATGAACTGTTTCTTTATTATGTTTTATTATCTATATCTAAGTTTGGAATTGTTATTATGGATAGTGGATTTGTTCATTTATTTATGTTGTATTTCACATACATCCAAAAGTGATGTCCATATATATTTTTTTTAAAAAAAAATCTATCATAGTAATATTTATAATACTAAAAAGATTCATTTTCCATTTTTTGTTCGCTTTTGATTTTAATACTGTATCATAATCAACTCCAAAATACTTCTGTTTTTCAGCTCTGACTTCATTTTTAGGTTGATAAAAACGTTTGCTAGTTTAGATTCCTTATATTGCCAAATAAATTATTCCAACGTAATGTTTGAAAATTCCGACCTGTAGAAAAAAAACATTGAACTAAATATAATTTTCCTTAATTTCATAGGCATCTCTTTCACAAATCTTGTGTAGATCCATGGCTTCTAGATCATCGTACCTGTCCTATGTGTAAAATGAATATACTAAAAGCACTAGGGATTCCGGTAAGCATTCCAAGTAACACAGTAAGTAAAACTGTATTTTTGAAAATACAGTTTTGTATTTACCTAATTTTTATAAATTGTATTCTTTTTTATAATGAAAAGCAAGTCATATATACTAATTTATAAGTAAAAGCAAGTATTATATTCCAATGCAGCATAAAAGGTCTGAGTATTTTATGGCCATTTTGTGTACTTACAAACTTAAATAGAGAAACTGTTTAAAACTGGTACTATCTGCATTGGCATTGGTGTAACAGCTGATACATTGTTTTTAAAACACAATGAATTCCTTAAATTTTGAGTTTCCTAAAGCAGTGAAGGTTCAGAAAAAAGGAGTTGTTGAAAGAAAAACAGAATCCCTTCTGATGTATTGAGCTATAACTTTTCCTGATTCCCAAATAGCTTGGACGTGATTAGTTTTGTTCCAGAATAGTTGCTTATGCCTTTTAGGTGAGGAAGACTATTTCATTGTAGACTCTGTACTGGTATAAAGTATTGAAGATTGCATTAGCTTAATTAAAAAGTGCTCTTTTATGTGTGTTTCTCTCTTAATATTTTAACTGAATCGATGCTATGAAGTAGAAGTACATGTAGTGTGTTATTGAGAAGAGATGGCCGTCAAAAAAAAAAGGAATGGCCATAGTAAGTATAAAATAGTTTGGATTCCAATTCATGTGAAAATGTTATATATTGATAAATTGAGTTGTGTTTTCATCCCGGGCAATTTTCAACAAAAATCTATCCTAGCAAATTTCTGATATTACCATTTATTTTCAGCTCAATATACAAATTAATATAGCCTCCATCAACTTTTGTTTAAAATGAAATGAAAATACATAGTTAACAATAGGTTTCCTGATAACATATGGAATATATTAAGACAGAATCACATATCAAATTGTAGGGGTGATTTTGGGGCAGAGGGAAACCTTTTCCATCAATATTACTCCTGAACATTATCTTTTACAAAGTTTCTTCCCAATTCTATGATTCTCTTCTTTTTAATTTCTTTTAGCCTAATGCAGATTGTGTGGATGACATCCCTCCGGATTTTGAAGCTTCTATAGGAGGGCCACCAACCAATCAGATTACAGGAGCTAGTGATATCACTGTGAATGAAAGCTCCATAGCAGTGGATACTCCTATCCGGACAGTTGGAGTATTACAAGTTATTCAGGATGCAGATCCTCTTCTGCAGGCTGGGGAAAGTAACAATACTACAAGCAGTAAGTCCCCATTGATCTCTTTGCTTTGAATAAAATGTTACAGATGCAATTCATAAAAGTACCTAAGGTGGCTTTTCTGAAATATTTTCAGTTAGTTGATCTTCTGGATTTCAGTTAGAAAACATTCAACACAACTAGAGTTTTCATAGGGGGTTATAGTACAATTCTTCCCCCCCCCCGATATTAATTCAAAACCAAATCTCACTAGTGGCATGGAACCATAGGATCAATATGTTCAGCATATGATTGACTGTGATCATGCTGTTATATTGAAAAAATATGTTTTACAGGAAGAGATGGGGATGAAAAGGTTATAAATTAGTACATTTTGCACCGAATACTGCTTAGCAAAAAGGGTATTCTTTCCTTTCACAAATATTATTCTCACACAAAGACAAAATTCAATAATAAATTTTCTACATGGTATGAGATATAGGTCTTACATCTGGTATAACTCAGTCTTGATTTGAGACCTAGATATCTACCTTCTTGAAGAGAAAAAGATTTCGTCTGATCTTTGAACTGTAAGTCCTATGCTTTCTGACATTTAGTCTATGTTATTCTGGATAAATCTGAAAACCAGTAGCAAATGTCTGCAGTTTGCAAACCTTTGCTGCTACCGGTACCCCTAGTCCTCTTCTAATCTCATTGCTGCAAAATTTACTCTTTTATATGCTGTGAGGGAAAACAACCAAGCTGAAGCTTTCAGGCTACAGTAGCTGGCTTCAATTTCAGCATTATTTATGATTCCAAGTTTTAGTATTAAAAATATAGCCCCAGCAATCATAACAGTTGTCCAAAGATTCCCATTCTCCCTTTATTTATTACAGACTTTAACATTGCAGTTCCCAATACACTAGTTAGTCTCATATCATTCTGTTAATTCAATACATGATCTGCTCTTACCAACATTAGTTCATAACTGTTCTTGATTGTCTGCTTTATCTTGCCAGATATCTTTTACAAGTAATTTTTGTCTATATTCTTCTGGGTCACTTATGAAATATTTTCAAAAATAGATTCCACTTTCATATATCAGAGCAGCAAGGTATCAACATCGTGACCAGAGTTGTGATATTGGTTAAACTTGGAACTGCCTGTAATTATTTGCAATGTTTGTAGCTTAAGAACTGTGACGTGTTTTTATAAATATCTGATGGTCTTCTGCATCCTTGACCAAGGAGAATCCAGTATCTTGCAATATAATGTATGTTGGAGAAAATAGAAATGTAAAGGGAATGTTAATAACAAACACCAACATTTCCTGTTCTCTGTACTTCTTGGTTATGATTCAAGTCAATGATGAAGGACACATTTTGGCAGCGAGAAAACTTCACCACGTTTAACCTTGTTTGCTTATTTATTTAAGGAAAGGTTGTAAAACTTATTTTCAAATAGAGGAAAAACTTGGCCCTTTAATTAGATCACCAGGGTTATAAGTCAAAAAGCAGGAAGAGTCAGAATAAGTAAATGGTTGGAGGCAAAATAAAAGCAAATTTTAATTTATTGAAATTCAAGTAAATACCATTAATAGGATTATTTACTATTGTCCCTTTCATATTCAAATATGATAATTTCATGGCTCCGATGTAAGAACTCTATTTAGACAGGCACTCTATAGCAGGGCTTTTCAACCAGTGGTATGGGTGCCACCTGTGGTACATTGGCACCCGGCAGGTGGTACGTGAACATCCTAGAAAAGTGGTAGCGGGGGAGGGGCAGCACCGCACAAGCCTGAGCGAGAGATGGCTGGAGCTGCAGGGCTGTCAGGGCTCAGTGGAAGCACCAGGATCAGCGCTTCTTTGGGGCTGTCAGGGCTCAGTGGAAGCGCCAGGATCAGCGCCAGGCTCCAGCTGGAGCTCAGCACTGATCCTGACGCTTCTGCTGAGCCCAGAAGAAGCGCCGATCAGCTGGAATGTTGCTGCATCTCCAGGGTCTTGTGATTTACATTGAGATGCTTGGCAATTGATTCATATTTAAGACGGTCACAGTGTCCCAGGGTCATGTGAAGTGACTAAAACCTGATGCAACCACCCAGCAGACGGGGGGAATAAAAACCAAACACCCCCACCCCACCCCACCCCCGCTGCCAATCCTCAACAGAAATGCTCACAACAATGAAAACCTCAGATAGGAGGAAGAGCGCCGCCGGGCGGGCAGGCAGGTGTCTTGCTCGGCTGTGGCTCGGGGGGCACTTTTTTCAGTGCCATTGTAACTTCGAACAGTCACTAAGAGAACTGTTGTAAGTCGAGGACTACCTGTATTTTATCACTTGTTTCCTTTTTTTATTTTTGGGTCATCAAGTTTTTGACATCTTTCTAGGCAACTGGTGGTACTTGGATGTTGCCATACCCTAAAAGTGGTACAATGGGTGAAAAGGTTGAAAAGCCCTGGTCTATGGCAAGTGTAAACAACAGAAAAAAGGAAACAGATAATCTATACAATATCTTCCAACAAAATGGATATCCATGCAACCATCAAAAAGTGCCTGACCATTCAACCAAATATAGCACAACCAGCACAAGCTGTAAAAAGGGTAACACTGCCATATATCAAAAACATCTCAGAAACACCAATCGATTATTACAGCCGCACTGCAACAGCATAGCACACAAACCAACTAAAGCCCTCCAGAACATCCTAAGTAAACCAAAAGACCTAGCAGCCTCAGAAGAAAAAAACGAGCCATCCGCAACATACAGTGTAAAGACTGCAACAGGCCCTGTCTAGGACAAACAGACAGAAGACTAGCAGAATGCATCCCTGAACACCAACTGGCAGTCAGAAGACATAATGACAAGTCTTTAATCTCACAACATATGGACAGACTTAACCATAGTTTCAACTGGGAAACTGTGACCATCCTACACCAAGCCAAGTTCAAAAATGCTGGAGAATTCCTGGAAGCCTGGTACTGTAACAAATTGGCCATCAATAGACATATTGGCATAAACAACATAGTACAAAAAAGACGATCAATAGCCAGAAAGGGAATAAAAAGACCCAAACACCTCTCCAGCAGCAGTCAACAGCCAGATGAGTATAGATTAACACCAAAATTAACATCAGGCCAAAAATCAAGAAGTAAATACCTCAATCAAGAACTAGTACTTTTTCATAACTGTGAATGGTTATTGTCTGAGACAGTCATTAAATGAGGACTACCTATACCTAGTATCTAGTCATAAACATTTCTAGAGTAAGCAATAGTGGCGAATATCTGTAGCCCGGATATAGGATGAGGATGAAGGTTCGTTCTCCAGGCTTGTGGGTTGGTTTCAGAATGTTTAGTTACCTATGCTAGGTAACATCTTCAACGGTGTTTAGTGGATGTCTGTGTCAGTGTTCTCCTGTTTATAAGGGCTTCAGGTGTGGGTGTATCAACTGAAGGTCTTGTGATGGGTCTTGTGATCATACCTGACCCATCACATGATCCTCACATCACATCACAAGGCATCCGATAAAGCAGACCACAACCTACTCCTTGGTAAGCTAGAAAAAGATGGAATAGACAACATCACCACCAGATAGATCTGTAACTGGCTGGCAAACCATACTCAATGAGTAGTCCTCAGTGGCACTACATCCACATGGAGAGAAGTAGGCAGTGGTACCACAAGGTTCTGTCTTAGGCCCAATACTCTTCAGTATCTTCGTAACTGACTTAAATGAGGGAATTGAAGGGGAACTCATCAAATTTGCAGATGACACCAAACTGGCAGGAGTAGCCAATACCCCAGAAGATAAACTCAGGGTCCAAAAAGATCTTGACAAACTTGAACAATGGGCCCTATCCAAGAAAATGAGTTTCAATGTGGAGAAAAGCAAAATCTTACACTTAGGCAGGAAAAATCAAAGGTACAAGTACAGATTAGACGAGACTTGGCTTAAAAAACTAATTGTGAGAGGAACCTTGGAGTCCTAGTGGACGATCACTTGACTATGAGTCACCAGTGTGCAGCAGCAGCAGCGAAAAAAAGCTAATACGATCCTGGGTTGTATAAACAGAGGCATAGAATCAAGATCACGTGAAGTATTAGTACCACTTTATAAAACCCTAATAAGACCACACCTGGAATACTGCAGCCAATTTGGGTCACCATATCACAAAAAAGATGTTGAGAGTCTGGAAAAAATTCAGAGAAGAACAATTAAGATGATCAAAAGCCTGGAGACTAAAACGTACGAAGAATGGCTGCAGGACTTGGGTTTGGCTAGTCTAAAGAAAAGAAGAAATAGGGGAGACATGATAGTATTTGAGGGGCTGCCACAAAGAAGAGGGGGTCACGTTATTCACCAAAGCACCAGAGGGCAGGACAAAAAACAATGGTTGGAAACTGATCAAAGAGAGAAGCAACCTGGAATTAAGGAGAAACTTCCTGACAGTGAGGACAATTAACCAGTGGAACAGCTTGCCTCCAAAAATCGTGGGCATTCTATCACTGGAGATTTTTAAGAAGAGACTAGACAGTCACTTGTCTGAGATGGTGTAGGTTCTCCTGCTTGAACAGGGGGCTGGACTAGAAGACCTCCAAGGTTTCTTCTAGCTCTATTCTATTCTATTCTAAACAGAAGAACACTGACATCCCCTAAACTCTGCTGAAGATATGTTACCTAGCCTGTTAACTAAATGTTCGGAAACCAACCCAAAAGCTCAGAGAACAAACTTTCACCTTCATTCCTAGAATAATTTAAAGATCAATAAGAGATTATGTCTATCCTCAGGCTTAAAATGAACATTACAAAAATAGTTATCTGGAACTTTTAATAGCAATCTGTAGAGCTTTAATTCAGCTGGAATATCTATCTCTTATGTCTTCCTATGAATAGCTAGAATTAAAATGGCTGAAGGAGTGAGGAAGGTTAAATTTGCTGTGGCTCAACTTCCTGTATGTGACTGGATGATGCAAGGGCTGCTAGATGAGCATTGAGGAGAGGCAAAGTCTGATGATTCTGGCTTCTCAGGAGGACTGATTCTGAGTCCATTATGTGATCTACTG